AAGCTAAAGAAAATAAAAGAATTTAATTTGTAACGAAAAAAAATATATAAAAAAACATACGACGCCTGTTGGGAAAGCGACAAGACCTAGTTGAAGAAAAAACGAATTTGAAGTATATAATGAAGATATGAAAACTTACCAGTAGCACCATGATCAGTGAAATAGATGAAAACATTATCATCAGGGCCACTAATAAAGTAAGATATATATATATTCAAAGAGAATTAATTATATACCTTTCAAGAACTTTGCCACTACCAACGCCTTTCATAAGATCTTTTTTACCGAGTAAGACATTAATAAAGTTTTTAGGTGTAACAGTCTGAAAATCAAATTCAAATAAACTTTCCTGATTTAAATTTATTAAATATCTTACTTTTCCAGTATAATCATGTGGTACACCTTTATAGACATCTTGACCATCTGGATGATTGATAATTACACCTTTTGTTGGATTTCTAGGAGAAAAAAACAATATAATATTTATTAAATTCGAGAAAAAATAACCTACTGTTTATCTTTAGCCAGATCATCATACATCATAACAATAATATTTGAATCTGGAATACCATTTTTATGTAAAATTTGATATGCATGGCATACATCAGATTGATGTCTATAGTTGTACCAACCATTTGAACCAGCTACAAGTACTGCCCAATTTTGACCGGCTGCTGATCTTCCAACAGCACCAATAAGTACAATACTTGCAATAAAAATAATATGCTGAGATAGAAGCATGTTACCAGTGTATGATGATGATAACACTGAAAAAAAAATTGATTTGTAGAGTGAATTTATCCTTCTTATTTTGCATTGTCATTGTTGACATGCACTACTCAATCGGTCTGTGTAGAAAATAGTTTATCAATGATGATAATGCTGAGAAAATAAACATATGAACTATGAGAGAAAATATCACATGGTAATTTATTTTTAGTTTATGCACAAAGTAAATTTATTTTATGAGGTTGCTTTAACAGGGAGATTAAAATGTTATCAGTTAGATAAAATACAATTCATACATTATTTATTGATTCTTTCCAGGCTCTGATGTATACTCATCAGAAACAACATAGATAATATTTAAAGTTTTCTATTTATTCTGTGAAATGTTGAAACGCCAAAGATTAAAAATTTCGAAAAAAGAAAAATAAGATGATTTGATGTACAACTGTTTGAGAATATAAAAGTGCAAATCGATAATGAATTTTGATGTATAATTTTAGCAAATCTTATCAACATATTAAGTAAATAAAACTTCTTTAGATTAATATTCTATAAGAGAATAAATAAAGGTGCTTATTTTAAGGTACTACGTTGATATAAGCAGTAAATTTTTTAAATTTTGATTTATCTATTTTATCGCCAAACATTCTATTGGTTACATTCAGGTAATTAAAAACGAATTGAAACATCGTATGCACACCTGTTGATTATTTAGTACGTAAACAAAAGAACGTAATATGCGTGATATATAAAATCAATAATGTGTGAAAGCATGAATACTGAATCAATGGCTACTAAAACTAACAGTCAGAAATTGATCGAAATGCAAGAGAATAATCTGCTTTGTCTATCAGTGCCTATTGAAAATGAAAGCAACGTAAGTATTTAAACATTAAAGTTGATAAATGAAAAATTTATTTGTAGATTTGGTATGAAACTTGGAATTTATATCTTATTGCAATAGAGAATTCAATTATCAATGATGTCAAACGTCAAGCACTTATGGAACTAGCAAAGTTTGATTTTGTTACATATTTTAGAGCTCTCTTAATTCAAACCGTGTTATTTAGAGATGCACAAGAACAATATGCTAAAATGACTGAAAAAATAACATTACAGTCGAAGAAATCACTTAAAATAGCTAAGAAAAGATTGAAACCGAAAGATATAATAATGTATTCGAATGTTATTTGGACCAACATCATCATCAAATGTTGTATAATTATTGTCGCAGTCATTCTATCACTTGGTATAATTAGTTCTTGGATTATAGGGACACAAATGTCAGCTATACTGTCAGAGTCTAACGAACCTTACGGAAGATACAGTGACATGGGTAGGTCTGCCAGTGGATTTTCGTTGTTCACTATATTATTAATAACAACTTATTCCTATCACAGAGCCTTTCTTTGATACTATTTTGTAAAATAAAAAGATCGATTAACGCTTGCTTATCTCACAGGACTCTATGTATTAGTATTCTTTTGCTGTCGAGATTGCTTGATAACTTTTGGCGACTGCGAATGGCAATATCTATTATAATGCTTTTTCATCAGTTTGCAATTTTTTTTATAACATACCATTTGTTTCTGTAGGTATGAACATGACCAATATACCGATATCTACCACACTCAATGATACAAACACGTTACCGGAAAATGCAACCGTCATTTCGTTTTCCGATGAATTTGAAAAAGAGAGAACTATGAAAGTACTACATACGGCTTCCATGACATTACAAGGATCTCCTATTGTCTTAATTTGTTTTCTGTTAATTATATTTTGCAGCATCATTTTCATCTGTTGCATATCATGTTGGTTATATAAAACTATATCTACTCATTCAAACAATACTCACCAACCATTCGTTCATAGATCTGAAAAAGTTATTCTATTAGATCCTTTCAAACAACATTCTTATCTACAAACACGATTCCAACATAATGGACTACTAGTTTATTCTTCTATCTATGATTGCTTTCATCAATTAACTTCAAATCGTCATCAGCAATATATTCTTTTTCT